TTTTCATTTGAAATGGCGACCATAAAAGTACTAAAGTAGGTATTTTAAGCCAAGTATGAATGGAGATGAGTGTAGGATGAGTGGTGTGTGATCTTGTATAGTCTTGTTATTGACTAAGTACGACATATTACTTAGACAGCTGTTAATTAATAGCCCATACAGCTAATGGCAAGGGACCTTATAGTGGGTGGAGTCTGAACCACATTTTTGCCTTGGTATTAACGAATTGGTCTAATTATCAGGATAGTACACAACTGCGGGATAGTCGTTCTCACTAGTGCTGTTGATATAATGCTGTAGGGCAGACAAACTATATTTAATCGTACATTGGTAATCTTATATTGGCTGTTTATTTATTTTGAAAGAGGGGGGAGCACAGCTGCTTCCAAACAAAGATCACAGCAGCTGATTCTGTGGATTCCCGAAAGTTATACTTTTTACGCTATATACAGTATTTACATCTAGCTCTATGTGGATCAGCTTCTAGAAGAGGAGAGAGACGATTTTTTGTTAATTTTGTTCATCTTGTTCAATTCTATGATCCAAAAACTTAATAGAATATATTTTATTATTTTTTGTAAATTTTTTACAAAAAAAACCTATTTACAATAAAAAATTTTATAGGACCAGTAATATTGTTGCATTCAAACAAATCCATCCTACAGATCATAAGAGAGCATACAGTACTTTAAGAAACACTTAGAAATAAAAAGGTATTAATTACCCTTTAAACTTAAGGTTTTTAATCCTTACATGATCTAATAAAACCAAGTAAAAAGTGAAAATCAACCCCACCTTTTTCCAAACGTACAGGGGGTGAAAAAATTACAACCCAAAATTTTTGTTTCTATAGTTGTTACAGGTATTATCCCAAAATGGTTTCAATATTTTTGGCTAATAATTAAAGATTTTTATTTTTTGCATGAACTCCCCACATAGCATAATAGCACACAGCATAACATAAAATGAAATAATTAATTACCTATTTCTGATGTGGAAAGCGAAAAGGGACCTCTAGTCGGCGATGCAAAATTTTCAGTACAGCCAATATGCCTAAGTAATTAAGGTCGAAAATATCTAAATTCGGGTTTTTATCGATTGTTATTCCTCATTTATCATAGAACAGGACAGTATAGGTTAAAATATCGAATTGAAGACGTAAAAGGTCGAAATAAATCATTTTGTTAGCCTCTGCACGGTCTGAGAAAAGGTACCTTGTCGCTCAATGTTATTTCACCTTAACGACAAGAGGCCCCATTTCTAATATTCACTTTATAAACAGACTTTAGTCCAAAAAAATGAATTGTCCCGCATTCTGGAGGAAATTTAGAGAACTACAACCAAGTTCAGTTTACGGAGAACGAAATATCTCACAAATTGTGCGGTCTGGAGAAATAATATAGGGCCGACAAGAGGTCCCTTTTCTGAAATGCGATTTTTACAACATGCTTCAATGCTTCAATAAAACAATTATTTAAATGAAAACTACCGGGAGTTAACACAAACATTGGTTTTGCCTCCAAAGAGGACATTATAAGCTTTCTTTTGATAACAAAACTCATATCGTTTCTTAAATACGAAAAAAATCTGTTTTTATGTGTAGGCCCTATTTGAAATTTTCAAAATGGCTTTTCTCAAAGTGATCCTTTTCTATAACAAAATTTCAAAGTCTTATATAACTTTAACAACAAAAATCGTAGATGCATGGGACTTGCACCAAGTTATTTGGAATTTAATAAAGAATTCTAATATGTATATAACTCAAAATCGAAAATTCCCGACAAGAGGTCCCTATTCGCGTTCCACATCGCATTTATTGTCGTTAAAACTAACTTGTAATGTACAAAGTTCATGACAATCGTCAAAAGAAAAACAAAACGATCAAGATGGCTCTGGCATTAAAACTAAAAAACTAAAACTCTTTTATTTGTCTCCTCTCTGATTGCATAATGATATATTTTGTTAATTTTAAGTAGAAATTTTATTTGCCTTTTTCGGACTATTTTAAAACTAAGGTTTAGGCAGAAGTCGTATACTGAGTCACTGAGTCGAGATTTCATGTTTTTCTTGTAGGCCTATTATTCATCAACAATCCCAATTTCATATATCCTTAGCTTTCCGGGCTTAAATCTTTATTATTTTGTGTTTTTTATTTTTAGGCCAAATGGAATGGTTGGCCCTTCCGCAAAAATTGGTTGGTTGGCCAACCGTAAGACTGAGTGCCTAAACATACCGTTGGCCAACGATCGACAGAAACGTTGGGCCAACGATTTTTGCTACTTGGGTCCTGGGTTTCAATAAATGGTATTGACTAGAAGCAGCTGGTCTTAGTCAGTAACAAAGCTACTCTCAAGGCGAAGACATCATAGACTTCAGACTCCCATTCAATGGGTTAAAATACGTACTGTACGTACGTAGCATAGGTGGCGTCCGCACCCGGCCACCTTTAACACCAGGCCGTGGCCTGGTAGAATTGGCAACGTTGCAAGTAGTGTTGTCTAGCGCCAGACTTCCCATGCTAATTAATGAGCTCTGGTGTCACCCAACGTGGTGTCACCTGTATGCTATGATATATTATGGGTACCATAAGATATCATGGCAGACAGGTGACACCAGCTCATTAATTCGCGTACTATTCTTATGAACATAAATGTATTAAAAGATTGAAAATAAAACGTATAGAATTGAAAACCAAAATATCATTTAAATCGAAAATCTATTTTTGTACTTAGTGGAGTCAATATTTTCATACCACAGTAACCAAGTTTTCGTATTCTTAAAAAAATACACACATACCTTTAGCCGCCTCCAAACAAACCAGCTGTTAACAACCCTACTTGCGATGTTGGGATGTTGCCACTTCGAAAGCCGCGGCCTGGAGTTAAAGGTGGTCGTGGTCGGTGGTCGCCATCTCAAATGGTAATCTATCTATATATTAATAGGCAAGCATGTTTCTTTAAAACCTTTTTCTCAGCTCGTGTACATCGTAGGGAAAATCTACGCATACTGTTAGAAAGCTATTTTCCTGTAGGTGTGCAGAATCCCTTTATAAATTAAAATAGGCTCAAAGATAAGCACAAAAAATGAATTTGAAATTAACAAAAAATTAACATGGGCTTTATGGGTTGCTATGCTGGTGACGAAATAACAACAAAATATAAACAGAAAATCAAAACAAATTCCAATCACATGTTTTATTTACAGTGTGGGGTGAAAAATAGAGAAGTCTGTACAGTGCAATTGGATTTTTTGTGGTTAAGCTGTGGTGGAATATCTTTGAAGATGAACCTTTTTAATGACAGGTTAATTCAAAACAAACTAACTGGCATAATATATTCTTGGAATTTGATGAATCTCTTTGTCATTAGCTAATCATTAGAGAATATTTACTGTGAAATAGAGACATGATTCCTAATTCCAAATCAACTAATGAACAAATTGTTATTTAAATGTCCTCCAATTTAAGTTATGGTTGCTTTGAAAATAATTAATTTACATGAGCAGATATTAAAATATTGAATCTTCTTGCAAAATTAATGTTGATCATTATATTAATAGAATAATGTAGTTGCTTTGACTGGGATACACATAATAAACTGTTGGGACATAATGATGATTTACGATTCGGAAAACGTTGTACGATAGGCCAAGGAAGCAAGATTCAAGTTTGGTTTATAAAATGCATAGTAGCCTAAATACTGAATGTTTTCTAATAAATCAGACAATGACACATACTAAATTAATTCATTTGATCTTAAATAAAATTTCTTTCATAAGTAATACAACATTGACCCTGATTGACGACATGCCAGTTTGTTTTTATTGATTTGACATACAAAATTGACATTTGAACATTGAACAAATGATCACACCTTCGATGTATATAACAAAGATATAACCTAACACCATCGATGTTAGGTTGTATACATCGATGGATCGCACTCACTACAGCCTACAGCCAAAAAGGTTCATCTGCAATGCAAAGATATTACACCATATACCTCAACCGCTTCTAGCTAAAAAATCCAACTGTCATATTTTTTATGGTCGAGTTTCGACCACTGGACGACCTCTAGTCTATATATTAATAGGCAAGCATGTTTCTTTAAAACCTTTTTTCTCAGCTCGTGTGCATCGCAGGGAAAATCTACGCATACTGTTAGAAAGATATTTGCCTGTAGATGTGCAGAATCCCTTTATAAATTAAAATAGGCTAAAAAATAAGCACAAAAAACGAATTTGAAAACTTCAAAAAATTAACATGGACCAACTGGGTTGCCATGATGGTGACGAAATAACAACAAAATGTAAACAGAAAATCAAAACAATTGGAGGAAATCCCAATCACATGTTTTATTTACAGTGTGGGGAGAAAATATAGTAGTCTGTACATTAATTATTTTTGGTCGAGTTTCGACCACAGGACGACCACTAGTAATAATAAAAACGCCCTATAGAATATGAATATATGAACTAAAATAAAAGACCTAAACTATTTATTTGAACTGTGCGGATTATTTATATTAGAGAGGAAAAAGTCGAGGGTTTTGGTATAAAGAGGATAATTTATTACTAGAAAAATGAGTGCGTGATGTTATGAGCGGTGATTCGAGACGAATGAATGAAACAATGAAAATTGACATATGGTAATGTGATGGGAATTACAGATGGACTGTTAAAAACAGACATATAAAATTAATACAAAAAACAAAGCTACTTGACTGAACATGAACTATACACAAAACATAACAAATAACTATTATAGCTAGGCGAGATATATATACATATATATATATATATATATAAATATATATATGTATATTTATATATAAAAATATATATATATATTTATATATATATTTCATACATATGAGTTCAAAGATCACTAAATGAGCCTGACCACAATTTACCAAAAACCCAAAACCAAAACCACCTGTTGTCTGCCTGTGAACAGCTGACCTGTTACTATCAACAGTTCAAGGTCGTGTCAACTTTCGAAACTTTCAATTGAAGTGTTATCGTTTGTGTTTGGTTCAAATTCACACATTGGTTATTTTGTTCTTGTGTCTTGTACACGCTTGCGTTTTTCATTTCTTTAATTTTTCGACTAACTAACTGATAAAGTGTCTTCAGTCTCTAGTCTCTGTCTGACCCTGATGTAACTTTAAACCCTTGTTTTATAATTAAAACATCTGACCGACATTGTTGTTGGTTCATATTGACTTGGATAAAAGAGTGCAGTTTTAAAAATTTCTCTCCATGGGTGTTATCACATTTTCTATACTTCTATGAATTTAATTAAAATTAATAGTTTCTCGCTTTAGGTCATTTTACATATTTCTTTAGAACTTTTTCCGAATCTTAGCATTATGGATGTCTTTACTTTGATTGGTCTATTTGTCATTTTATATCTCTTCATCTATTTACTCGTCCTATCTTTTGCTGACTGTGATTTTGGGCTGGCTTTTGCTGAAACGTTCGGGCAGAAAATAGGTAAGTACTTAAGTGTTACCTTAGGCTATTATAGGCCTACTTGGTTCCATAAGTCTAGGGTAACTTACGATAAATACAAAAGAAAGACAGCAATTTGATAGCCTATCCGATTCCATCATATTTCAAATAGCCTAATATCCAATTTAAAACTACTAGGCTTAACAGGCCCTATTTCCTAGCTGCCGAATTTGATTGTGGTGTTTTAAACGTCACACTTTATAAGCGTTTTCCTAGGTGCAACATCCAGCACGGGCGGAGTGGTCCATAGCGCCAGTTTTTAGTTCCCGAGAGAGATTGGACCTAATACATGTATAGGCCTAATCTCTTATGTAGCCTATGGATTAAAATTAAGGCAATTACCTATTTAATATGTCTACAACACGATAGGCCTATTGTGTAGTTTTTAGATGTCTACGTTAGTTTTTTTCACGCTGACTCCAAAAATGCAATCAGTTTTTGTTGGAGAGATTCCTAAGTATGTAGCCGTAAAATAAAGGTTGAAATTACGAATCTAAGGTTCATTGAGCGGTGCACTGATGGTAATTGATCAGGTAAGTGATCAGGAGAGCAAACAGCTATTTATACTCGACTTAATGCGGAATGAAATCAATTCCTTTTGAAACCAAATAATCAGTTCTTATTTAGGCATGTGAACAAACAATTCAGTATATCAAAGTGTTTTTGTACGGTTATTGGTTACGGAGAAAACTAAATAATTTGTAAATTTAAAATTCCCATGTTATTCTTATGGAGAATATTGTAAAATGTTGTAGTTTGCTTGTTTATGGATATCTTTTGATCAAACTTGCTAAATATATTAATTTTATACCAAGCAATAATTATTTTACTTAAAACACACACTTTATTAGTTTCCTTGTACATTAGCAAACCTAGGTACTCATTAAATCTAATGATATTTAAATAGATCAATTGAAAATCAATTCAGCCAAATGGAAATTCGCTTGGACGGCAGGTTTGCTGCGGCGGGGGTATTTACCCATAGCCTAGCTTGTAAACTTGAGCAGTGTAGTCGCCATATTCTCATAAAAGCTGTCACTTAAAAAGCTAACTTAGCTATAGAAAAATAAGTTGACTGCGAGTAATTTTATAAGTCACTTCCCGGATTTTGAGCAAACTAGACCGGATAACTATTCAAGTCCACAGTTCCTTCTGGACAAGTGACAAATTGGATTAGTCCTGTTGCTGGAGAAATTGGTTATTAGTGGGAATTGGAATGTCATTCTTGCAGGGGCACCTCTAGGCCCCAATCTGTAACTAATAACTACTGATATGATGTCTATATTTATTTACATAATTTACTTGATTACCTTGTGAATAGAGAATAGAAATCCTCAAAAAGCATTTGACTCGCCATTTTGCATATACATTTTAAAATGTTTCCCCCATTTTTGTGACCCATTACTAGATCAAACTCCTTCTCAATCCTTGTCAGGCCTACCCAAAAATTATTCCTGGAGCCTTCCCTGCATTCTTGCACAATTTTTTGCCTGCTGGCTAGTAACGGGTGACTGCCGGGAACCGGACGAATTTGCAACAGCTGTTACATTGTTGCTACACGTGCTAGGGAGATTGAGGTTATGTCATTGTTTTGAGTGAGCTTTACCATTTTAGTCACGATGGATCAGCTGTCAGTTCAGCATCGTGTTTTTGCATATGACACATTTGTTAAAAATGGCGAATCCGTTATCAAAACACAGCGTATCTTCCGAGGCCACTTTAATATTGTGTGAAATGACACGGTTCCAAGCCGGAATACATTGCTAAGATGGGTGCACAAGTTCAGAACAACAGGAACAGTATCAAAGAAAAAGCCAGCCGGTCCAGCAAGAACAGTGAGAACACCAGACTACATCGCCACAGTGAGAACTGCTTTGATGAGGAGCCCGGGTCGCTCTGCACGAAGACACGCACAAGAGCTACACATGAGGCGCGATTCTGTCAGAATAATTTTAAAATCAGATTTGAAATTTCATCCCTACAAAATACAGGTGGTACAAACAGCAACTGAAAGAATATGGATAAAGAGAAGATTTTGCAGTACGTATGCAGGTATTGTTTACTGATAATCCTGATGTAATGATGTTAATGAGCGACGAAGCTCACTTCCACTTAAACGGTTCAGTGAACAAACAAAACTTACGATGTTGGGCTCCTGAAAATCCATTTAACTTTCATGAAAAACCACTCCACTCTCCAAAAGTAACGGTTTGGTGTGCTGTAGGCCACTTTGGGATAATTGGTCCGTATTTTTTTGAGGAAAATGGAGTCACAGTGACAGTGAATCCTGCACGCTATGTTCACATGTTGGAAACATATCTCAAGCCACAATTTCGGAGGCGAGGAATAAACGTGAAAAATGTTTACTTCCAACAAGATGGGGCCACAGCGCATACTGCAGCTGCATCAATGCGAGTTGTGAAGAAGATGTTCCCTGGCAAATTGATTTCACGTTTTGGTGACGTGCCGTGGCCGCCGAGGTCACCAGATATGTCGCCCTGTGACTATTTCTTATGGGGGTTTTTGAAAGCTCGTGTCTATGTTCATAAACCACGAACATTATTGCAGCTAAAAGATGCAATCACCGAAGAGGTGAATTTTATTGGACAAGACGTGTTGATGAGAGTGCGTAATGATTTTCCCCAGAGGTTGGAAACCTGTATCCAGGTTAACGGCCATCACATGCATGATATCATCTTTAAGAAATAAACCCAAACTAGGATAAAAGGTTCCATAAAACATATGTTTTTTGAAATGGTATGTTTTCACCAATATATATTCAACAATTAAATAATTTTACTATAAAAAATAAGGTTGTACTATTCATTTAAAAAACGTCCGGTTCCCGGCAGTCACCCTCTAGTTTAGTAAAATAGTAGTTTTTCTTTTGTCTCGCATTGCAGCACATTAGGCACTACATGTTCAATTTTATTTTACTTAGTCATTTATGTTAAATGCTTAGTAACATGGTGAGGGCTGCTCCATTAATTTGACTAAGCAGTCGCCTCAGTCAATGTTAAAGCTTTAACTCTGAGGTTCGCCTGCATACTTAACTTAGCTAGTTTTACTAAAAAGAGTTGTATAGTTGAGCCACCAACAAAGTATGCTGACGTAAATTGAAAGAAAATTGAATTGTCAACTTATGTTAAATAGGCTGTAGCATCTTTTATAATACCGTACATAGTAGCCGAACAAAAAAAGGACCAAAAAAGAATTTTTACAGCAGAGCCCTCTGCAAGTACGGTAGCTCATTTAACGAGCCTAACTTGTTCTACGTATTTCCATAACAATTGGCTACAACCGGTCCATATAGGCCTAGATGACAATGAAATGAAACCAATGCTTTATTAAGATAAAACAATGCATTCCAAAAGAATAAGGTTTTTTCCATAAATAACACTTCAATATACAAATAGGCCTAAATTATCTACATACACCCTTGAAACAGACTTAGTGTGTTTTTAATACCTTCATATTATTTTGTTTTGTTCAACTTTACTATATCAGCCCAAAGGACTGTCCGCTGGGCTGGCAGAGTTCATGTTTATTATGATACTAGCTGGCCCTTACAGACGTCATCCTGTCCTAATGTGGTTTTATGTCAAATGCTCGTTCATTTTTAAGATGAGCTCGTTCGCATGGCTCAATCACGTCCTGGTTGAAGTTCATTCGCTACGCTCACTCACCTTTTGGTTGCAAATTAGCTAATGTCATAAATTTAAAAAAAATAATAGTGCTACACCCTGTTGGTAAACCTATAACTTTTTAATGCTATTGAACATCACAGAATCAAATTGTTTAGTTGAACCAGCTGTTAAGATTCTTTAATTCCATTTAAATTATGAGTACTCATAAGGTTAACGTGGGAAACTCCAGAGCCACTGGTGCGGAGCCCTTTTGACGATATCTGCACCAAACTTCACAAAAACCATCCTTGAATAATGCCTCAAAGTTTCATTACAATCTGTCGAGTGGTTTCAGAGTCCATAAAGGACAAACAAACAATCAAACATACAAACATACATTGGATTTTATATATAGAAGATTATAAAATGTTTTAATTTCTACCCTATTTCTTGCAATCCGTTAGGTAGGGAGTAATTTATTTTGATGCAAGATTAAGTTCTGACCCAAGGTCATATCCATATTCCCACGTATTAATTCAATAAAATCCTATACTTCGCCAGTCCCTACCGTTTAAATTTAAATATGAGAGTAAATCTTCCCTAGTAGGCTAAGTTCTTTTTATGAATAAAACGTTTTATTACACCTGCAAGGATTGGGCACCTACAAATGCAATGGAATGTAGGCCTACATCCTCATTTGTTCTTAAATTACTGTACATGAACTGCACACATAATTTTGGTCACCTATCCAAGGCTTGTAGTTTAAAAGATGAATTACTCTAACTCGTGCTTTGTAAATCCATTTTATCGCCCTAAGAGATAGATTACAATGTCTATCTACTTCAGTATCCAAAAGGAATTGATTAGGTACCGGTACATTGTGTAGGCCTATTTGATAAATCAACTTTTGGGCATTAACGGTAAATTCCCCCTCACAAAATACATTTTAGTCTTCTATTATTTCCTTAAACTGGATGTGTAAGATTATTTGATTCATTTATTAAAATTTTTATTTTTAATGTCACTAATGAACACATTTAATCGTAGGTGTGTTGAGAGGTAAAGTAGTCTGGATAACAGGAGCATCAAGTGGCATCGGTGCCAGTTTAGCTGAAGCCCTCGCTGCCAATGGGGCCAAACTGGTACTATCCGCTAGGAATGCTGGGAACCTGAGCAAAATCAAACAAAAATGTATTGGTAAGTTACCTTCTAGCTTGTCACACTTACAATGAGTTTTGTAACATGTGAAAAGAATAGGAATCGTCTGAAACTCTCATGCATATTGCATTCTGCCTGATTTCTACACAACATTCAATAGACTAGCATAAAGTATGCTAGGTTTTGTTGTTGTATGTTTCACCCAGTAAATAACTTAACTTGTTCTTGTACTTTTAATTCTGCATTTAGCAATATTAGGTACATTTACCAACTTTGCTTAAAATTACAGCGACTAGCATCTATGTTGAGAAGTGTAAATAAACTCTGAGTATTAATTGGTATACTTTACCACATTACAGTAATATGGCAATTTAAATTTTAAGTTTCAAACGTCAAGGGAAGTTAATGTTTTAATATCTATTACCATACCTTTATCTGTAAAAGGTGATTATATTACATTATAATTTTTTTATGCAAACCCTTAAAGGTGTCTTAAAAAATATAACACAAGTTAAAGTTTTGACTCATCAAAATAAGAATGATACGGTAAACACTTGATTTAATTTAGCATAATTTTAAGCAAAACCTTTTATTATTGAGTACGGTAAATAATAATTAGCCTAACCTTAAAGTAAAAGATCATTAATTTGTTAATAGCCTATGATTTGCTTGTAATGCAAGTAAAATGTTTAAATGTTAAGTCATTTATTTGATCCTTGACGTTGTACAGATAAATTAAGTTTTTGTAGGATATTGTGATGTGATTTGTGGACAAATTTGGCTGAAGCGGGCAATATGCAACTAACTCTTAACTAAGAAATGTTTGACAAATAAATATTATTAAATTATATGCTAGATGCTTCAGTATTAACTCATGTTGTCCAAAAAATGAAGTAATAGATTTTGCTGGGATGACACCATGATGACATGTCTTGTTTGATGTCATGTTGTAATATTGTAAAGCACATTGAATGATGCCTCGAAAGTCATGACCCAGCATAACATCACCAAAATGAAACCAAAATTATTTTGATTGCAACCAAATTTTTAAAGAATCCTTTACTTCATGGAAAATTAATGAATAAATACTGTACAGAAATGAGGATGGTAAACATTTATATTAACTTCTCTAGATATACATGTCTATCAAAATGCAAAAAAAAAATTGTTTTAATCAAACTATAATTACTAATTACCTATTGCAGACAAGTTAATGACTTTTGTAGCTAAATCTTTATAGTTTTGAAATTGTCTATTTTTGTAACTTATAGTTGGAAATAATAATAAGCACATTTACTATATTTTCAAATATCTTTAAAATCCCAACAACAATATTTTTTTTCAAACATGATGAAATTGTTAGATAAAAATCACTAGTACTTATTTTGGCATGAGTGTGGGGTTGGGGATTGCAACTTTTCAAGTTTTTCACATTTTCAGACTTATCTGCCTTTTAAATCTCAAAAGTTGCTATTTAAAAATTACATTATGATAATAGCCTACTTTTAAAAATAGAGAGAAATTAACAAAAAAACTTAAAATTTTCTCTGTCTTTTATCTATACAAATAGTTTAAGCTTGTGTTTATTAAATTTGAATATATTGTAAAACTGCATACTGTTATCTTCAACTGCAAAATTTTAAGCCGATACAATTTACTAAGTTTACAAACTATATAAAAAATTAAATACAATCTTATCTCTTTGAGCAATGTATATTGGTAGATATATAAGTTAAGCGTTGTTTAAATAGTTGTAGAAAAGTTATCAAAAATAAAATAACAATGAGTTAAAGACAAATGTCTAATTATGACTCAACTCATGATTTTGTTTGTACTTTCGCTTCTTTGCCAACTCATGTTCGTATGCGTAAGTTTTCCTAAATTTGCAAGAAGTGTTAACTATTTTAAATGTCAGTTCTATTAAGTTAACACTCATTTTAAAATAAATAATCTCAAAATATTCTAGAAGCTTAGATCATAAATAGTTTAACAAACTGCTCAAGGAAATCTAAGTAGTTGTTGCACAATTTGAACACAAAAGCACCTGATAATGCCAATGAACGAGTTCTAGGTCAATCCAATTAGAACTCGCCTTTAAAGCATTCTTCATTCCTTAAAACTAATTTCCTTTCTGACTGAATATTTGTCTATCCTATTGTGTTTATGTTTTTGGAATAGTAATTTTATACCATAAAAAAAAAATGAATTTATTTTATTTTATTATATTATTTATTTTATGAAATTAATTGTAATGATTGTAGCATGAAATATATCGGCCAAACAAAAAGAAAAATCCAAACAAGATTCAAAGAACACCAAGCTCATGCAAAATACAAAAGACCTGAAAAGTCAGCCCTTGCTAGCCACAGTATTAATACGGGACATATTTTCAATTTGGGAAACCTTAAACTCTTAAAACAAATTATAAAACCTCAACATCTTAATGCGTGGGAATCTTATTTTATAGAAAAAACAGATCAAAATTATTTGTTAAACAATGAAGACGGCCCAATTAAAAACTCGGAATTACTGAAAATAATTACATCAAGAACAACACTGTAATATATACAAAATTCGAAAGATTATTAATTTTTTTTTTCTAATGTCCTTAACAACATCTGTTTTAACTTTGTTTAAAATTAATTTATTATTAAGTAAATATTTACTTTTTGTACCAGTGTACTAGTGCCTGAAAATGGAAACATAGTTTCTGAAAGCGCTAGTAAATAAAATAAAATAATTATATATTGGCTTTGTTGAACTTATAAATTTAATTATATATTTCATTAATCCATCTTATTATGCTGTGCTAAGTCAAATGAGTCAACTGTAATATCTGAAGAGTATTTTATTGATTGTGATTTGAACTTACAAGTACCCGTTTTTTTTTTAAATTTAAATTAATGTAACGATACAAATAGACATAATCAAATCTACAATATTATAGCTTATAATTAAATTCAGGTTAAATTCAGGTTATAAGATTCAGGGTTAGGGGATACATCTTCTCACAAAAGTTGATAAGCCAAAAAAAAATCAACTATCAATGTTTTTGTTGGATGTAAACTTATTCATTTCCATGCCCAATAGTTGAGAAGTACATGATTTCAAAAGTTGACTTTTCTTCTTAGCTTTAAGTTTAAATCGAGCACTTTTATTTGTTTTTTGTAGTTTAACTCCTTCCTAAACATAAGTGTCTCATTATTGAGAGTTACTGTAACTAACAAACCGTAATTTATAGCAAACAATGATACCGTAGAACAACATACTATCAATATTGATGAAAATACAAATTTAAAAATATTGGTGAAGTTTTAAATTTGAATTGATTAAATACTATGAATCTTTACTTTGTGCAATAGGCTACTTAAACGAGTATGGTTTCAAGTTAATGATTAAAAATTAAGAATATTCTGCCATATAGCTTTGATTCATGTGGGGTAGTACATTTTTGAATTTTATATCGATAGGCTGTGTAGGTAATTACACCGTTTTACAATTTTGTATAACAAACAAGTTATTTTATGTCCGTTTGATAAAGTTTATGATATTTTTTACAATGAAACGATACATATTGGTCTTTCAGCTGCAGGATTGGCAGCCACGGATGTACTCATCCTTCCCATGGATATGCTGGAAGTTCACAAACACGAACAGTATTTTCAACAAGTTATCGCCCATTTTGGTCAGGTAGTGTGTTTTTTGTTTGAAGTTCATTTTTGATGATGGTGAGTTTTTATTTGAAAGATTATTGATGACATATTCCATTATTATTAGTACAAAACAATGTTTTCACAACTATTCATTATCTGGAAGCTGATTCAGTTTCAAGGTGAAAAATACCTAAGGTCTTAGCGGACCACAGGATCAAATGGAGCCAGTATCACAAGCGTACTGCTGCGGCAATCGAGCTTCTTGTCACAAACTCACACATGCAGTTGGTCGTTTCGCTGCAGCTCGCCTTTATTGATGGTCATTTGTTTACGTCACGTCTGCAATCTAGTCGGTGGACTTGTCGCTTATGTGAACTGGTATGTCGCTGGGCTGTGGCAAATTCTAGTCACAGCTAGTCAGCTAAATGTGTCTTATCCTTGAACCTTGCCTAAAACAGGACCAGATTAGCTCACAAAACCAGCCAAAGCTGGAAATTTTTAAAAGCAAAACAACACAAAAAATTGTACTGTACTCAAAACAAAAAAAAATCCTGAAAGAAACCTAAAACTAGTATAAAAGGAAACTAGAAGCACATAATTAGTATTAGTATTGTATTGTATTGCAGTCATTTGTAAAAGGCTGTTAAATCATCTAAGCTGGTATATCAATGTAATTTTTCCCTGTTTGGCAGTTGGACGTTCTAGTCAACAATGCCGGCAGATCCCAGAGAGCAGTCTGGGAGAACATAGCCATCTCAGTAGACAGAGACATCTTTGAGCTCAACGTGTTCAGTGTGATCTCACTGTCTCGGCTGGCTGTGCGCTACTTCAATGAGAAGGGCGGGGGCCACTTGGTGGTCATGTCTAGTCTGGCGGGGGTAGTGGGGGCCCCCTACTCCGGCTCTTACACAGGCACCAAGCACGCCATCATGGTAAGTTATAGAGTGCACTGGGTAGGTTACAGTGAAAATTATTTTCTGGGGTGAAAAAACAAGAGGATATACTGTGTTCAATTTCCCAACACTAACACATTCCGTGCTTCACCCATGATTATAATTAGCAAGCTACAAAATATTTCAACAAGTTTTTTTTAGTATGAATGGAATATTTGCTGTATTCCATTAGTGTTTAGCATGGAACTATATTTACTAACTTTGCACGCATAATGTGTGGTTCTTAAATAATTTTTTTTATTTTGTGTATCAATTTGTGATGGTTCTGTCTTTTTTCTACAGAATTATTTGTTCTCTGTAATTTAGTTTACATCACATTGGTTTTATTTAATAGATTTTTGTTATTTAACACAATTTTGCTTGTTTTGACCACATTTGATACTAGGTTATTTTGAAAGCAGTGATAAAAAATTTTTGTGGGTCTGTAATATTTAGTTTTTAGGTAAAATTCCATCCACATTATGTGCAACCATTATGTTTAGCCGCTCTTTGAACTATTTTTGTAAGAGAATCATCCTGTACAGCAATGAGGGAAAGGATGACTATGTCTTAACATGCAATAAAAACAAAAAAAGGTGGTTTCAATGAAGTATTTTTCATCCAAGTATTGATTTTGCTTTAATTCCTCTGCAGTTGTATTTCTTTTCTATCTTTTAACTGATGATCCACGGTGGTTTTTGTGTTGTTAGGGTTACTTTGAGTCACTTCGCCTAGAGAGGATGGGGCAACGAGGACCTGAGGGACAACTGGCGATTACGTTGTTGTGTCCGGGACCTGTCTTCAGCAACGTGCTTAGCGAGAGCTTCACAGACATGCCAGGACAGGTACAAACTCATCAATGTAAACAGAAGTCTGGAGTCTAGATTAAGGATACTAGATTGTAGGAAGTTTCACAGTTTTATCAAATCACATCTTTATTAATGTTGTCATATTATTTGACATCTTTATTAAATATGCTACATATGCTGGGAAGTTATTCCCTAGTTGTTTAGATAGTACCCACAAGTATAATCATTCGCTCACTAACATATTACACTGAATACATTCATCATGCAGTACAGAGAGTTCACAAGCCATGTATTTCAAATGACAGTCTCAGCAACACTAGTCCTAAAAACATCATTACCGGTACCCGCAAACACATACCCTAACTTTTACTGCTTTACAAAAGTTTTTTTTACTACTTAACTAATTTTGACCATACCAAAGCCAAAATCAAAATAATTAATTCAAAATACCAACCTATTAAAACATAATGTTACAGATAGTGCCTGTAGGAGTGTCGCAAGGACATTTAACACTTAGCATTAAACAACATGTTTCCAGTAAGAATGTTCATCAGCCCCAAAATCTCCCATAAGAAATGTGTTTGTGTACTGCAAAATGAACGTGGAACTGAATATACCGTAGTTAAACCCTTGCAGACATTTGTTGAAGGACAGATGCAATTGTGAGATGGTTCTTGGATGTTGCAGAAGTTTAACCAGCAGCAGGAGCCGACAGATAAGCGAATGACGACGCAACGCTGCGCCAAGCTGTGTGCGATCGCCATAGCCAACCGTCTGGACGAGGCTTGGATGGGCTTGTTTCCTGTGGTGCCTCTGTGCTATGTCCTGCGCTACTACCCTTATCTGGCTAAAAAGTGAGTTTATTATCAACAGATTATGGATTAATGGCTTCATATCATAGTGTGATCAATTGTATTGGATATATTTTCAGATTGACAACATGTGTCAAAAAAAAATTAAGTGCCTAATTAGACTAGAGATTACATACTTTACACAATCGGTTTTGTAGGAAATATATCGTGGCTTGCCAAGAAAGAAGGAACAGATGCTAACATACCCAAGAAATTATTTTCAGGTAGTTGACAGAACAGTACACAAAAACTTCACTTTACAAGAATGTAGAATGTTTATTTTCCATTCTGAAGAAACCTTGTCGGGGCCAAACATCAAATCAATAGTGTTGTGAATGAATACGTCTCTTATTCCTTAGAGTACACTTTTCACAATTTGAGGCTTTGCAGACTGTTCTATTCCTCTTTGAAAGTGAGGCTTTGTTTCTCTGAATGGAGAACTAAAATTATTGACCTTTAGAAACAAATTAACATAAAGGTTTTCAGTTTCACTGAACACTGCAATATTGATACGATATTTACGATATGACATCGTTCATTTTTATTTCAAATTGAGGGACCGACCCAAAGGAAGTATCACTTTCGAAGATACAAGTTCATATGCAACATTTTATGAGATAGGGGGTTGGATTTTCCCCACATTATAAAATATAAATATTTATGTGGTGTTTTGCTTTCACTTTGTTCTTACAGATTATCTCAGGTCATGTCTGGCCAATATCTGCAGAAAATAAGAGACAGTAGGGTAACTGTCAAGGACCAAAACAAGACAGATTAAAATTTGAACGGTAAAAGATTGCTATATTGCATTTGTGTGGGTTTGCGTCTGACCGTTTTGTTTGTTCATTTTGGTTATCAGATGTTTTTTGTTTGCCCTGAGTTTTGTAAGATTTGTTGGTTGTTTTGCTATTTCCTCTTATTTTTTTATATTTGATTAATTGATTTTAGTTAAGTAGTTAAAATGAACACTTTTAGAAAAGCATGAATAGGTGTGTCTGCTTATAACTAATGTGTACCAATTTTACAGATATTAACTTCAGGCTTCCATGGTTGTTTTTGTAGAATTTTCAACATGAGGATTTTTTTGCGGGGGGGAATGATTTGATTGTTGTCTAAATAGTACTTTTGTCTTATATACCTACCTCAAAAGTCTTTGGAATTGACATGTTTTGTTTTGTTTGTTTCAATTGATTTTTGCCTGGGTGGTTGTGATTGTTTTCATGGTGGAGTGTTTTGAGGTAGGCCTAATTCATGTTTGGGGTTCAAGCATGCTTATTATTTTAAGAGTGCTGTTAAAAGATCAACAGAAACACCCTATTCCATTATTTGAATTGAGGTATTTGAGCGGGGCTTTAAGGGTACTTTTTGAATCATTATCTTTGAGATGTTAATATTCTATTTTTTATTTTTGGGATTGTGTAAAGGAATTTACTGTGAATTAAAAGTGTTATGAATCTGTTAATATCCCTACATCCACTAAAAAAATACAATTTCGTTAGACTTTCCTTTTACTGACACAATAATGAGTAATTTTGCTTCCCAAAAAATCTATTTTGATGGCTGTCTTCAAATAATTAAACCCATCCTAAAATCTTTCTTTTTTTACAATGTGCTCACATATCTTTTGTTGCAGGTTTATGCAAGTGACGAAATTCAGCTACTTTCAGAAGTTGAGAGATGGTCGAACAACTGTCGAAGTTTAAGGAGCACTAGTTTAATCCATAAACCATTAGTCATATTGCTAATTTCTTGCTTGATGGCATGGGGTTGGACTGCCCAATTGAAGGATGTCTTTAATGTATTGAACACTGTGTTAGTGGTAGCAGCTAGACATTTTATACTGTATACAATAATTGTTGCTTGAAATATTTAACTTTCAATCAAAGGCTTGTTTAAGTTTTAAAATTGGTCGTTTGGATCACAAGATGAAGAATGTGCTTGGATTTAGTAAAGCCGTGTTTTACAGTGCAAGACAGTTTTATTTTTTGGTTGTTTTATTCAAAAATGTTTTTGGAAATAGAAAGAACAGTAATGTATCTTTTAAAAGCTCAAAGTTACTGTTAATGAAACAGGAATATATGAATATATATTTTTTGTGTACCTTTAAACCGTATACACTTTGCTATGATTGGTCGTAAACTTTATCCTACAAGAGAGGTTTTTAAGACTTAAAGCTAGAACATTCCGTCCTGAAGAGTGGTTGTATTTTATTTTCCATATCTTAAACCTAGCATTTTATCCCAAATCGTGTTCAGGGTACCTACTTATACGTTAACTTGTTAAAACCCTATTTAGTCTTAAGAAAAGCCTTTGTTCAAGGCATCTAGTTATTTTTATTTGTTTAACAGTTGTTTAGTTTAGTGCCAAAGTTATCACTTTTAGCTTTATGTTTGTTATGTTATGTTATATTAATAAAATAAACATTTTTGAACTTTGAATATTTTCTTGTTTTAACTTACCTTTTTGAATGAATGGCTTTATTATTGCTTTAAAATGTTTAGTGCTATTGCTCTAGTTTTGCATGTATAAACATTTTTTTAAATAGATTAGGCTTGAGTATTTTTCTCCATGGCAATTATTTTATTGCGAACATCCATTTTTAGATTGAAAAATAAGTACGAGACCTTACCGACAAACCACCACCGCGCACTGCAGAACCCATCTACCCATCGATCTCTAAATAGAGATCTATGATCATACCGTGCATAGCCGAACTGTTGTTGGGAAATTGTTATCTCTATCTCTGTCGCTGTCAAAACGTATCGTTTGTAGGTTAAATTTAAATGTCATAACCTAACCAAACTTGCTGATAATGAAAATATCGAATTAATGTTTACTATTAACACACAAACTTGCTGATAATGAAAATATCGAATTAATGTTTACTATTAACACAAATAGTTCTGTTCATAAAATAAAATTATAAGTCTCAAAATCAATTAGATAGTTTTTTAATTAATCATAACCTAACCAAACTTGCTGATAATGAAAAAAATAAAGTCAAAAGTTAATGCCTCCGGTAGGATTCGAACCGGCTACCTCTGAATTACCAGCCCAGTGCGCTATCCACTACACCACCAAGACCTACGGCTGTTCAACGTATCGTTGCGCTAATGGTGTTCGCTCGAGCAGTGGTGGGCGGTGGCGGTCTGTCGGCAAGGGTTTCTAAAATATGTCTGTAAAAAGGAACTACATGAAATCTCATACAATTCAAGTTAAGACATGTAATAAATAAGAACATGATAAATATAGGGCTTAGAATGGTACAAAATATGCCAAAGGGTGGCGATTCACCTTCCTTGCATAGTTGCTAATGTCTTCAGCATTTTGGAAACTTGGACTCTTTTTCTTGTCACCTTCACCACCATAAAATCCAAATGTCCTCTCATCAGAATCTGAATCCTCCTCACTTTTATTACGTTGTCTTTCATCAAAGCTGAATTTATTAGCTTCTCTTTGTCTTGTCTTTTTACACTTTTTCTCTTTTTGTGTTCGCTTTGACGAGTTGTCTCTTTCGGGAATGTCTTCATCGTACTGCAAACATGTTTGGTTACATTTATCTTTACATGACCTTTTATTTGGTTTCTGTACATCGTTTGTTTCATTCTTACGGTGTTGGCAAACACAAGCACAGGGCAGGAGTCTAAAGTTCTGCAAAATATGCATCAGTGAATGTTGCAATAGGTCTTGGCAACATGGTGCTTGTGGACAGATGTTGTTTGGGGTGTTTGTTGTTAAAGGGATGTTGCAGGATCTGCATCGTTGTTGTTGTTGTTCACAGCTGTGACACATACTGCAACATCCGCCCAAAGACAAATTACATTGTGTGGTGTTCATGTTTACTAGAATTTGGAAAATAAAACCTAAAGATAAGGATTTGGGAAGTATTCTATTACTATGGTTACTATTCCTGTAAATGGTTTAGTTTAAACATTTCTACCTGTTAAAAGTTGTCGCCAGCTTTTTAATCAAAATGCAGTTGATGTGAGCCATCGGCAGATCGTACCGATGTAAATTGCCAATTTTTGTTGAATACACAAACTTTTTGAACAAGTCAAACTGATAGAAAGACTTTTTGTGAGCTTTAGCAACCGTTTATTGCCCATCAACTGTGTCGAAACTGAAAATAAGGTAGTAAATAAATCTGATAATAGACTAATGAATCAGTAGGATGATAGATATTATTAGCTTTGACTACTGAACAACTAGACATACCATTCTCATGTTTAATTTTTTGTCAGTTTTAAAATCAAAATGAGCCACTGACATGTTGCACTGATTTAAATTACTAATTTCTGTAGAATATGCGGACTGCTTAGCTAGGTAAAACTGATAGGACGACTTATCAGGGAACTTCAGCGGTATAAAGGCGGTACGGTATACAATTTTAGACACCTCCAATGTGTGATTGACCCACAGAACTATGTTCTTTCTTGATAAAAATTTGTAGACAGCTGACCATATAGACGGGATGCCTACTTCAGCATCCATAAGTCAATGAAGTTACTCAAAAACAGCTGTCTTCAGTTTCAAGTTTATTCGTCGCAATGTCATAAGCATGAAGAAGCAGGGAAAATCTTCTCTCAACATTGCACCCAGACTTTCAGTGCAGAAGTACTGCATTGTATTCACTTCACCTATGCATGACCACTGACCAGTGCTAAGTTTCACGCCAATTGGACAGTTTGTACTGAAGCAACAAACATAAAGGACAGACAGTCATTTGATTCTATATAGCCTAGATGGATAAGGAATGAACTGTTTTGTACTGTTCAAAGATAAATACATGTAAAGGAAAAAGAATATTATGCAAATATGATCAATAATTTTATTTGATGTCAAAAACAGTAATTGATAAACTTACAAAAAAAACGTATAAAACTAAATTTGGAAATTATATTTTACTTAACTTAAATAAACATAGTTCGAGTAGCACAGGTACTTTGTACAGTAGGCCTATAACAAAAAGATATTTTACAATGGAAAGTTTCAGATTCAATGATCCATTGTTTCTGTTTATTTAACATAAACACATTATACAATATGGGTGGTTCCCAATGGGACACACAGCTTGTATTCCCTAGTATGACGATTAGTCTAGGGTGTTATCAACAGTAAAAAACACAGCAACTACTGTTTCTATGTTCCATTCCCATTACAAAGCTAAAGTTAAGGTCAACGTTTGGCATTGTTTCCGTAGTTCATAGCACGCAGTGGGACTTTGAAGTTGGCTGCAGCCTGTTGTTGGATTTGGTATGCGAGAGGATGAATCTTGAAACCATATAGTCTGAAAAATAACCACAAATAAATTAGTGAAATCTTTGCATGAATCATGTCCATAAGCTATGCCCAATCAAATTTTGTTGGGTTGCAGACGAAATCGAGTTAGAATGAATGTAGATGCATTTAACTTAGTCACAATGTCAATGTATTCTTCATTCATTCAAAAGTTTGCTACATCATTGTAATTGACCTACCTAGATTAGCTTAACACTTATAAGGGACAATAATTAGTTCTAATGGCATCATAAAAGGAGAAAATAAACAAGTTAGATGTGGCTGTAGGGTACCTCACTGCTATGTAGTTAAGCAAACCAATGAACCAGATGAGTGCTTGCTAGCTGTGCATGTAAACACATTCCTTACTGCATAATTATTGTATCTAGGGAAGTGTTTAATAGCAAGGGAGTACAAAACCAACTTAAACCCATACCTTGGGACAAACTGGTTGGCGGGACGCTTGGGTCTGTACTCTGGATGGACCATGAACAACATGTGAGGGAAGCCTGTCCCGAAGTACGCTCCGTCTGAGTGGTGGTGGCGCGAGGACTTGGGTGTGTACACGTCCATGCACTTGGGACAGTACGACTTGACCATAGCCTCGCCAGGGACGTCTGACAAACCTGCCAAACAAAGCAATGTGTAGTACCACACCTCAAAGCTAGGAGCTAGGGACAAGTCAATTCTTGATACTGTTGTTCCTGAACGTTGGCATTGAAAATTGATTGTCAAAAGTTAATGCCAGTAGGCCTACCCAGTAAGGAACAACTTAGGATTTAATATTTAATATTATAAGAACCTAAGATTTTAACGATTAAGATCCTAATTCCTTTGAATTGAAATTACATCAACATATTTGGTGTGAAATGAATACCCTTTCCTTAAATGAGTTTTTTTAGGGTTAGAAGAAAATGCATACTCAGGTTTCTATTGGCATCCAATAGTTATTTTTCCTACAGTTGCTATAAATCATATAAATAAATAGTCTTTCAAACACTGAAAACATCATTTTTAGGTTAGGTTAAATCAAAACATTAAACGAAATGGGAAACGGTGCACCAGCTGATCATAGTCCGTAATATCTTTATATAGTGTTGCCAACCTATTTCCAAGCGTACATGGATTACATACATAATAAAAGCACACTTGTTTTGTGTTGTTTGGTTGGAATAGGCCTACTGGTGTGCAAAAAAAACCCCTGCGACAAAGTAAAATTGTGCGGCAAAAGTAAGTAAATGCAGCTTTCTGTAGGCTATTATAATCAGTGCAAGTAAGCCCACTTTGTCCGGTAACTGTGTGAAAAGATATTTTAATGTAGGCCTAATTGCGTTAAATGATGGACTAAAATTGTCATCCTAATTTGTTTACGAATAAACTCAGTAAATTAACTCTCGCTTATTATACTTCCAATGTAAGTGGAAGGTATTATCTACTGAACTAACGGATAAAAGACTACAGCACTCTATCAAACTAGGCCCCAAACTCACCAATAGGAAGCATGTTTTCTGCCTCGCAATAAACTCTGGGGCAATGTCCAAAATCACCGGCTTGGTACTTTTCTATCATTTGGGCGATCCCTCGATTTGTTAGGATGTATCGGGCATGAATCAGACCATACAGCATCTCAGCTGCTTGTTCAATTAGATCCGACTGGTTAGGGTTGTCTTCGAGTTCATCATCTGCAAAAAGAAGGGATGCCATGACTTTAAATCTAGGTTTTCAGATATTAAAATGTATAAGTAGTAGAGGGTGGCATAAAACGGTTTGAGTAAGGTTTTTGAGAGAGTATCAACCTGTGATTGTTAGGTCTGAACCAGAGGTCTAAAGTGTTTCATCACAGGCCAAGTATAGGCCTACTGGGCTTTAGATTGAGATTCAAATGTTATCTTGGCTGCTGCTTTCTGTATGTAACACATGATGAATATTGTCTATTTAACTATCATTTATGTGTGCGAGTCCACTGGAAATTAATTTTATAAGTACCAAATTTGTTTGAGACCTGTAGGCAAAAAATTAAAATATGCACTGTCAAATCATTTCCAAACCTACAGGGGGTTTAAAGGGTATATTTAAATTGATTCGACCAACTAAATTAATATTATGAGTGATTAAATGGATATAAAGTAAATGAAACTTTATATATGAATGCAAGGAACCC